TTCTCCTGTTTGCTTTTAACGGAATTTAATTGCTTGTCCATTCTTTTGTTGTATATAAGGCTTCTTTGATGATTGTTATGGGAGCAGGAAGAGTCAATGGAACTATAGTAACTATAAATATAACTAACTATAACTCGGATTTTCATGGTGTCTTTGTGGGTATAGAGACCTGCCTGTTAATTATCACGATTTTAAAGTTTGTTAAATAATTTTCCTTGGAGACATTCGTCCGCCAAGGATAGAAGTTAAGCAGAATGTTTAAAAAAAATATGGTGGAACAATAGACTCGGGGAAACAATAGACCTATTTTTATGGAAGTTCAGGTTTGTCAATTTGCGTTGTCAGAGAGTGAGGGAGGTACGTGTGCAGGTGAACTAGTGTGCAATTGCAGGTAAAACGAAGCCCAGTTGTGAGGAGAATAGGATTTATTCTTTCCGTATTGTAGCCTCGTTTCTCTATATATATTAAATTAAATGACACCTGGAGAAAAACAATGGACATGGCGGGAATTTTTCCATTTCACTGAAGTCACGATTTTCAGCAAATGCCACGAGGGTCCATTGCAATAAAATCACAACATATACTGTGGATTCTACCATTTTCCCTCCGCCTTTTAAAATTATTTTAAATTATAAATTATTATTATTAAATTATTATTTTAAATCTAAAGTTATTTTTCCGCGCGTATCTCGTAGAAGGTGCCAAGTTATGGTAAATATTTGCAACCTCGAGAGCCTCCTCAGACACTTCCCGGATGTTGCCGCTGCCTCGCTCCCTTGTACTTTCTCCTTGGGCTGCGTCCCGGGGCTGTCTTGCTTGGCGAGGGATTGTCTAAGATGGCTGTTCCTTGTTTTTGAGGGGGGGGGGGATTGGTGTTGGTGTTGGTGTTGGTGTTGGTGTTGGTTGTAGTGTTGTTGATGTTGTTGGTGGTGTTGTTGTTGTTATTGTTGTTATTATTGTTATTATTATTATTATTGTTGTTATTATTATTATTATTATTATTATTATTATTTATTACCTTTTTTGTTATTTGTTTTTTAGATCAGGTTTTCTTAATGCGTGATACCTTCTCCCTTTTTTCGCTTTCGAAGATAATAAAGAAAATAAAGGAGAAAGGAAAACGAAAAGAAAAAATCATGAATTAGCTAAGAAAGGAATTTGAAAGAAGACAGAATAGAGAACCAGTAATAATTACTGATAATCAAAGAAGCACAAGGACGAAAGAAGCGAAGAGTATTGAGAAGAATAAAGACATAGAGATGCATTAATCCTATCACATCCTATCGTTAATCCTATCCTATCCTATCACAGCCTCCCTTTCATCTTCGCCGGGATGTTGGTCCACGGCCTTTGTTCTCTACGGCTGGGGCGCTCTTCCTCTCGGGCGGGAAGGAGGGAAGGAAGGAGGAAGGAGGGAGGGGTGGGAGGGAAGGAGGAGGGATGGGAAGGAGGGAAGGGTGGGAAGAAGAGAGGGAGGGGGAAGGAGGGTAAGGAGGAGTGGAAAGATGGAAGAGGGAGGAAGTGGGAAGGAAGGAGGGAGGGAGGGGATGAGGAAGGGGCGTGGGAAGGAGGAGGAAGATGGAGAGGAGGGAAAAGAGGGAGGGGGGGAAGGAAGGAGGAGGGGGAGGGGGGGTGGGAAGGAAGGAGGAAGGAGGGAGGGGGAAGAGGGAGGGGGGGGAAGGAGGGGAGGGTGGGGAAGGAATGGAGGAGGAGAAAAGAAGGAGAGGAAAGGGGAGAAGAGGGAGGAGGGATGGAAGGAAAACGGAAAGTGGAGGAAGGGAGGGGACAGGAGACAGAATACAGGAAAGGGAGAAGGAAGAGGGAAAGAGTAAAAGAAGAAAGGGAAGGAAGATACTGTCCATAGAAGGAGAGGGATGAAGTAACAGGAAAAGACTGAAAGATAGAAAGATCAGAATCCTTTTTTTTCGGAATAAAGATTCTTCATTGATAAGATTCAATCCCTTTTTCTCCTACTTTTAAAAATAAAATTTTCAGCTGCTGCCAAACATCCATTTCTCTTCATTTGCGGATTAAGACAGATAATCAGCATAAAAGATTAAACGAATTTTCTGTTGCTATGCACTTAACGACACAGATCGGCAAGCATACATACCAACACATGTTCGATATGAGTTTGCTGTAAAATATGACCTCATAGCTGTAAAATATGACCTACAGCTGTAAAATAGCATAGCTGTAAAATATGACCTCATAGCTGTAAAATATGACCTCACAGCTGTAAAATATGACCTCACAGCTGTAAAAAATAGCTGTAAAATATGACCTCATAGCTGTAAAATTATGACCTCATCTCAGACCTGGAGGAAACTAGTTCGAACAGGCGCGTTCCAGGTCGTGAGTTTAGGAGTGAGGTTATCAGGATCTGCAGGGATTAGGATCGGCGAGGGCTGAGATTAGCGAGGATTGGGAACAACAACCGTAGGGGTTTGATAAGGCCCGAGGAGAAGGATTGGGGAGCATATGCATATTAATGTATAAAGGATGAGATACAAATTGAGATAGAAATTCAAGCGGAAATATCATATCATATATACTTATTTTTACTCGAAATTTACAAGAAAAAAGGAAAGAATAGAAGACAAGGGAGGTACGTTTATTTTTTGGTTTCCGCGAAATGAAACGAAAGGGTTAAGTTGACGGCGAAGGAAGAGAGAGAGAGAGAGAGAGAGAGAGAGAGAGAGAGAGAGAGAGAGGAGAGAGAGAGAGAGAGAGAGAGAGAGAGAGAGAGAGAAGAGAGAAAGAGAAAGAGAAAAGAGAAAGAGAAAGAGAGCGAGAAAGAGAGCAGAGAGAAGAGAGAGCAAGGGAGAGAGAGCAAGAGAGAGAGAGGAGAGAGAAGAGAGGCAAGAGAGAGAGAGAGAGAGAGAGCGAGAGACAGAGAGAGAGAGAGAGAGAGAGAGCGTTCGTGGATCGCAATGGATTTTCAACGGCTTTTTTGCAACGCTCTCTGCCCGGCGTTCGTGTTGCTGTCAGCTTTGTCAGGCTGTCTTTGTTAATGGGGGAGGCTTGTTCTCTCTCTCTCGCGCGCGCGCTTTCTCTGGCTCTGTTTCTGTCCGTCTTTCTCTTTCTTTCGCTCTTTCTCTTTGTCTTTCCTTCCATCTCCTCTCTCTCTTTGTCTTTATCTCTCTCTTTGTCTTTCTTTGTCTCTTTGTCTTGTCTTTCTCTGTCTTCTGTCTCTCTCTCCTTCTCTTTCTCTCTCTCTCTCTCTCTCTTCTCTCTCTTCCTCTCTCTCTCCTCTCTCTCTCTCTCTCTCCCTTTCTCTCTCTCTCTCTCCTTTCCCTCTCTTCCTCTCCCTTTCCCTCTCCTCCCTCCCTCTCTCCCTCTCCCTCCCTCCCTCTCCCTCTCCCTCTCCCTCCCCCTCCCCTCTCCTCCGTCTCTCTCGTCTCCCTCATTCTCTCCCTCGACCCTCCTTCTCTCCTCCCCATCTCTCATCCCTCCGTTTCTCTCTTGTCTCCTCCGCATTTAAAGAATTTTAAAAACTTTTTTTTTTTTTTTTTTTTTTTTTTTTTTTTTTAATTCTGGGCGTTGCTGACTCACCCAAGAGAATACCTCCAGGGGGAGGGGGGGGGAGGGGGGAGGGGGGAGGGGCTTTGACTGGAGGGAGGGGAAGGGAGGGGGTGGGGGGGGCTTTTAGAACTGGAGGGGAGGGAGGGGAAGGGAGGGGGAGGGGGGCTTACTGGAGGGGAGGGGGGGGAGGGGGTAGAACTGGAGGGAAGGGGAGGGGAGGGCGGAGGGGAGGGGTGTTAGCCTGAGGGGTGACTGAGGAGGAGTTTTGGAGAGAGGTCGATAGCTCGAAATGGCTTGCTATTACTCGCCCTTATTTATGGTCTTACTTGCGAATTGTGCTACCCTAGGGGGGGGGGGGGGTGTTTGATAGGGGTGGAATGAGCCGGTGTTTTGGTTCGGGGAGCAGGGTTGGGTTGATTTAGGTTGCGTTGGCTTGATTAGTTGGGCTTATAAGTTGCTTTTAGGCTTGAGTATGGCTTGATTTAGGTTTGAGTTGGGTTGATTTAGGTTGAGTTTGGCTTGATTTAGGCTTGAGTTGGCTTGATTTAGGTTGAGTTGGCTTGGTTGAGTTGGCTTGGGTTTAGGTTGAGTTGGCTTGGTTTAGGTTGAGTTGGCTTGATTAGGGTTGAGTTGGCTTGATTTAGTTGAGTTGGCATGATTTGGTTGGCATAAGTTTGATTTTAGGTTGAGTTGCGTTGATTTAGGTTGAGTTGGGGTTGACGTTAGGTTGAGTTGGTTGATTTAGGCTGGGTGGGATGTTGCTAGTTTTGATTTGGCTTGATTTAAGGGTTGAGTTGTTGATTTAGGTTGGGTTCTGACTTGTTCGTATTGGTCTGGAGATAAGTACGATGGATTTATGGTCGGGGTATTATCTGTTATAAAAGGGGGATTTTGGTTTTATTTTGGGCTGCTTCGTTCACTACCCATTCTCTCTCTCTCTCTCTCTCTCATCTCTCGTCCTCTCTCTCTACAATCTCTCTCTCTCTCTTCTCTCTCTCACCTCTCTCCTCTCTCAATTCTCTCTCTCTCTCTCTCATTCCAACTGTTCTACTGCTCTACTGCTTTTTTTTCTCTTCCCTATTTTCCATTGCTTCTGCTTTTGTTTTCCCTCGCCTCCATTTCCTTTCCTTGGCCTTGCTTTGCTTCCTCTCTTCTTCTTCCGTTGCTACTTTCCATCCTCTTATCCTTTTACTATTTCCTGTTTTTTTCTCTTTTCCACATCTCCTCCATCCTCTTACTCACGGCTCCTGCGCTCTTTCCCGTCTCTTTCTCTTCCTACTTCTTCCCTTTCTTCTCCCCTTTTGCCTCCCCTCCCCCTATCTATCCTTCCTCCCTTCTCCTCGGCATCCTGCCCCTTTCCCCTTAATCCTATCCTTTCCGTCCTCCCTCCTCCTCCTCCATCCGTCTTCGCATGTTTGCCTCCTTCCTTTTCGCGCCGCTTGCTCGCGTACCCTTTCGCCCTCCTTCCCTCCCCC